TAATAAAAATTATAATACATAATATATTTAAATTTATTTGTTCTATTAATTAATAACATCTACCAATGAAAAAGAACTGGAAATTAATTTTAGGCTATTCTTAAATTAAAGGAAGAGAGTGTAGTTGATTAAAAGTTACCCTGAAAAAAAAAAACTAATATCTGCTATTTTGTGTCCAGAAGTGATGAAATAATACTATATGCAATACTTTATAGTGCATTTTTGTAGATTAGTGCAATTTGCTCTTAAAAAAAGTAATGAAAATCAAAATAAAGTTACACCATTGGAATTTTTTTCTGCTATAATAAAAATAAAATTACATTTTTTGTAAATATAAAAATTCTCATCACAAAATATTTCAATAATTTTTTACTAATAAATAACATTTTACTATGTCAACAAGTAAAACTAACTTTACGCATAGACGAAGGTAAAAATCCAAAACGTACAGCAACAAAATTTTATGAATATGATATTATATAGGATCCAATATATTATATAAAAAGACATAAAAAATCCAACAAACTTATTATTTTCATTCATTCCAAAATTTGCCAAAATTCTCTTTAATCGGAGCTGAAAATCATGTCGAAAGAGGTTTCTGAAACACCCGTTTCAAAATTCCTAAATTTTATTTGATTTTAAAATTTGTTTATGAAAAGGAGTTTAGTATTAAATTTGGTGTTTGTAGAGTCAAGTATCAAATTGATTCTTAGAAAAAATCACTAAGCAACCGATGCAAGAAAAAAACAAAGTGACCATTAAAATAGTTAAATACTATACTATTATTCCATAAAATTTGTATAACTCGAATATGGAACAAAGTATGTTCACTTTTTTCATTATGTTCAAAAAATTTAATATTACATATATTTCGAATATAGAATTAGTTTTACTCATTACAAAAAATAGATAATCCTAATTGAATTAATGAAAATAAAAAATACATGCTAAAATTTTATTAACGTTAGTATCATGAATTGTAATGAGAACTTATGAAAAAAAATGCTTATGAAAAAGGTATAGTATGCTTGTTTGATAGATGAAAATATCAATAACTTTAAAAAAAATCAAGTTATTTATAGCACGAAACGTGAACATCTAAATACGCATATTCAAACAATAATTTTGCTAATAATAAACAAATTTATGAATTTCACTATTGAATTGTAGAAAAGGCATTGATTTGCAAATGTTATAAACGTTTTAAAATAGAATCAATAAAAGTTAGATAGATCTAGTATTCAATATACGTAAATATTATTCGAATGTTCAGATAAACATTTTGGTTTAATAAAAATTAAGATGAAGTTCAGCTCCGTTAAAGATGAATCAATGAATTAATGAATAACTTAATAAATAATTTTTATATCAATAGTAGAAAATTGAATATTTATGTAATAAAAATCAGTAGTCGCAAATTATATTGTTTATTACAGATAATATTATAAGAAACAAAAATCACGAAACGTTTCAAATTATTACAGTAGTAGTATATTTTACTAATACTCTTCTCTAAGTCATATCGTGTAACAAAAATATTTGATAAATAACTGTATAACAAAGTGATTTCAAATAATCTTTTTACATAGTAGATTAGAAAGAAAATCGCATTTGCCACGGTTTTTTTTTTGTTCTTTTTACAAAAAATTACACAACATGAAACCCATAGCAGAATTATTTAAACATTTTAGATTACTGCCAAAAATTATTACTATAGTTTCCTTAAAAATTATCGATTTTTACAAAAGTTTAGTAAAAAATACAACAACTTCAGATTTTTATTTTTAATGTTTTGATTGATTGATTTGTCTCTAATTATTATCTATTTTACTATTTGATAAGCCTAAATTAAAAATTATGTATATGTATCAGTAGACAAAAATATGTTTACTTTATTTTTTTTAAAAATAAACTGAAAACTTAAGCATGGAATAAAATTCAATAATGATGTGTAGTTATAAAAAAATAGTAACAGACGTAGTAATATACTTTTTGCTTCAGAAAACTGTGACGATATAGTTTTAGAAATAAAATTTGAAATAGAATATATGAGCAGTATTCTGAAGTTCTTCATAAAAAGTTACTTCATTAAGCACAACAGGATAATTTAAATTATTTAAAAATCAATATTGAAGGAATCCTACCAGGATTTTCTAATATGCACCCTTAGGCGAAAAATAATGCTAAACAAGAGTAATTTCAAAATAAAAATTAATAAACGTTTATAAAAAATATTCTACGAAGAAAATATGGTAAGTAAAACACATGCAATTTAAATAAAAATTAATTTAAAATAATCAATTTACAAAATGTAATAATTATATCAAACTATAAAACTTAGAAGTTCTTTAAGCAGAAATATAAATTTATCTTCGGTTATATATAAAAAATTGTGCTGTTTTGTTGTTCTAAATAAATAACTAAAATAATTTAATATTAGTAATATTGAGATATTTGATATTCAAGTACATAGGCAGGTTTGTATATAACAGGCCTTCATTTCTATGCCAGTTTCAAGATATCATTAATGTTTTTTTTTCGCGAGAGACGAAATTCGATTAATTTTACTCCGAATTTATAAGAGAATAACAATTTCAACTATTACCAAAATATAATAATTTAAACTGAGAAATTATTGTTTTCGACACAAAATATTAGGTTTTAAGACGCACTGACTGCACTAAAACCAATTTAAAATCAAATAAAATGAGGAATATATATAAACTGTACCATTATGCTAAGTAGAACTTATTTTTGTTAATAATATTTTGAGCCTCATTTAAAATTCATTAAAAATTGATAGAAAAAATTTATATTTAAGTACGTAGGCAAGTTTGATTACATTCCAGGCCTTCATTTCCATCCTAGTTACAAGAAATAATTAAGGGTTTTTTTCACAAGAGACGAAATTAGATTAATTTCGCTCTAAATTTAGAAGAGAGTGCCAATTTCAATTATTACCAAAATATTATAATTTAAACTGAGAAATCACTGTTTTGGATACAAAATATTAGGTTTTTAGATTCACTAACTGCACAAATACCAATTTAAAATCAAATAAAACGAGGAATATATATAAACTGTACCATTATGGTGAGTAAAACGTATTTTTGTTAATAATATTTTGAGCCTCATTTAAAATTCATTAAAAATTGATAGAAAAAATTTACAAATTGATATTTAAGTACGTAGGCAGGTTTGATTACATTCCAGGCCTTCATTTCCATCCTAGTTTCACGAAATAATTAAGGAGTTTTTTCGCAAAAGAAAAAAATCGATTAAATTCGCTCTAAATTTAGAAAAGAATGACAATTTCAACTATTATCAGAATATAATGATTCAAACTGAGAAATTATTGTTTTGGACACAAAATATAAGTTTTTAAATGCACTAACTGCACTAAATCCAATTTAAAATCAAATAAAATGAGGAATATATATAAACTGTACCATTATGGTAAGTAAAACTTATTTTTGTTAATAGTATTTTGAGCCTCATTTAAAATTCATTAAAAATTGTTAGAAAAAATTTACAAATTGATATTTAAGTACGTAGGCAGGTTTGATTACATTCCAGGCCTTTATTTCCATCCTAGTTTCAAGAAATAATTAAGGGTTTTTTTTCGCAAGAGACGAAATTCGATTAATTTTGCTCTAAATTTTGAAGAGAATAGCAATTTCAACTACTAAAAAAATATAATAATTTACACCGAAAACTGATTATTTTAGAATCAAAATATTTGGTTTTTCGACGCACTGACTGCACTGCAGTTTAAAATTAAATAAAACGAGAAATAAACTACCATTATCCGCTACTGACTACAAAAATACATAGACATATAGTCGCATTGACAGAATATACGGAAAAATGGCAAATTATTAACCCTGTGAAAACAGAAGCTATTTTCTTCACTGAAAGTCGTTGGTCCATTACACTTACTGACTTGAGAAAACTAAGACTCAAATACCTTGGCGTGATATTAGATCATAGACTCAGCTTCACAAAACATACAAATACTAAAATTGGACTGCCTTACGGGATGTTAAATTTGTAATACAATATAAAATATAACTTTTCATAACAAGCCAAAATATAATTTTTCACAAAATCTTAGCAGCAAAGGGTTGTAATACACCCAAGTTATAGTTGCGTGAGCGCTTGGCAGGTCGCGCCAAAATGAAGTAGGAAGCGGCGTGATAAATAAAAATATTTTATGGGTTTTGTTTTCCGAATTTACAAATAAATTTATAAAATTCATTACTAAAATAAAAGTTAATTTATATAGTACACATTATATTCGGTAATTTTATTAAATTCCGAAAGTGGTGATCCTGGACGTTAGATCAAAATATAATGCCGCAACAAAAAAGGCATTTTCTTTGCCATAAATTACACATCCCAGATTTAATCCCTAACGACTTCGAACTTTGGTTTGCCTTAGTCGAAAATGAAATGCCTTTGTTCAATCGACTTTTCACGCACTTTTACAATATGAAGAAAGATAATTAGAAATACAAAAATGGGTTTAGTGAACTGGAAAATTATATTCCAATAGCTGATCTAGAAAGTATTTTAAATCCAAAAAATAAATTTTAATTAATTTAAATTTGACCTATCAAGTATAAAACATTAGGCTGCAAAGATAGCTGACAATATCTTAGCTAGAAAATTTCGAATGAAAAAAATCATAGTAATTTATTTAAATTTGACCAAAATGCGGACACTTTTACTATCACGGACCACCGGCCTTTCACCGGCCTGCTGCTTTATTTAATGCCGCACAATTAAATAGACGTGATAAAATATTTATCATAGAGAAATGCAAGAATAATTGTCAAGAAAATATATAGAAATACATTCAAATTCATTCATTTTCGCCGGTTTGGCATAAACCAAAGCAAAAACCGAGGTAAATAATTTGTATTCATCAAAATGTATGATATAATAAAAAAAAGTAGTTTTAATCAATTAAAATTAAATGTACACTGCACACTTACATTTATGATGAGTTGCTCCAGTAATCATTTTCGCAGGCAGTCGAAAAGCCAAGAACACTGAAAATAAAAATAAACTTAAATAATTTCAAATATGATTATAATGATACAGAAGTTTTTGAAATCATAATTTCAATTTGAAAAAAAAATTGCATACCAAAATTTTATAATAAATAAACAGCATATAACTTTACGGCAACATATAGAAGGCATGTATTTATAATTATGAAAAGACTTAAAAAAAAACAGTTGGTGTTTGTATATAAATTAGTAAAAATTACTGAATAATTATAATTACATGTTACTTGAAAATATAATTTAGCATTTTCAATGAAGCGACCTCATTAGTTATATTTGATATAATGTATTTGCCTTTAAAAAAGGGAGAAGATCAAAACGTATGCATCCTGTTCAAACTATATTTTTTCTTTAACAAACTAAAATATAATTTAATAGATCTATAAAACTGAAAATCAAATTAACACAATAAAAAACTCATTAAATTCACTATCCTGTAAAAATGGCAAAATTGATACTAATATATTCGTGCAATTCATACAATTGGGTTGTACATGTAACTAATTGACATAAATTTATTATTTATTTGATCTCATTATCGTTTATATAAATTACAGTATTCAAATGTGAATAAAACTGCTCACAAATGAAAATACGTGATGGTTTTGAGCATAAGCACTGTTAAAATTATTTTTGAAAATTTAGTCTAGTATAGTAATGAACTTATTATGATAAAAAAATTCTCACATTATAATATTTATATTTAATGTTAATATGAAATAAAAATATTTCATATTAACAATATAAATACCAAATATAAGAAAATCTTTAATATGCATTGTTATTTATATGCTAATTTGTATATTTCATTCAAAACCTTTTCATTTATTGAGGTGAAAATTTAACATTTGTCATTTGACAAATTACGACTGTTAGTATTAAATTTTTTATACGTGTATTAATATGTATATATTATCCAAATACAATCATTATTAAAAATTTAGTGTAGTAACATGATGGCTTTATATTGTTGAAGGGAATGCTTTTTTAAACATTTCTTCTATTCAATTTAAACAGTTCTTTAGTGAACTATTAAAAACAAATATTTTAAATGAGGAAAGAATATTTCAATTTTTTTTTTTTTTTAAATTCATTCCTGGTATTGTTTAAAAACAACAAATCCAAAATTCATCTATAACGTATTCGCAATAGTCTATCTAAAATTAACTTGTAAACATGTTCCGGCGCATTGTAAAAATTGATTTTCGATATTTTAGATTATCTTTTAAAAATTAATTCGACTTTTTCATACTATATATAAGATTACGTGTAATCGTAAGATTATAAAAAGTCCCATATAGATTATAACATGATAATTACCTATACTAAACTATCTTTAAAAAGGAAAACATTCAAATTGTAATCAGGTGAAAATGATGCAAGTAATTTTGCAAATTTGGGACAAGTTGTAGTTAAATAATTCAAAATTAAACATAGATTCTTGAAAATTAATGAAGATTCATCACTTTTGCATTAGATTAGTCGGTAAACCTATCGTGAACAATCAACAATACTTCGTTTTTAACAATTCACGTTTGTAATTAGAATAAATGAGTAACTTCAATTATGATTTATTCTGCCTTTTATATTCATATTGTAAATCAGAATCATTGCTTCGCAGTGAATAAAAATAAAATAAAATGATACAGCAAATTGAGAAATTTAAAAAAAACAATATAAAATCGTTATTTTACCTAGAAGGGCCGCTTCTGCCGTACGATAGACCAATGTTATAGCAAGGCTATATTTATATTATGTAGTTTTCATATAAAGTGGTACAAAAAACTATCAAAAACCTATGTGGTTACTTTGCGGTCAGTCATTTTAGATAGAAAACTTAACCTAGAAGAACGCACAATAAAGTCAATAAACGATTTTATCATAACTGCACGTTTGAGATATGTCTTGATAACATACGAGTAAAGTTGCATTTTATATGCCTGATTGCACAGCAAATACATTTAGATAGTATTCACAACAAATTTGTATGAAAACTGGAACGTAACATAGCCTTGGCAGAATCGCCCCAAGAATAGGAATGTCTATAAATTAATGTCTATAAATTAATGTGAGGTAATATTAGATAAAAGCAACAGGATGTATCTGCATATTTATAAAACTATTCAAAGTAATTTATTTAGTAAAAGAATGTAATATTTAAAATAACTACATAGTGCACGATTCACCTACAATCTGTACTTTTCTAAGATGGACTCACAAAAATGTATAAATGTAGTTTCTAAGCAGATTAAATTCCAACATTAAAGTGGACTAATTCATCACGAATTATTTACATATCGTAACTATTTGATTAAAATAAAATTGTAAAAAATATATATTTTGCTGTATTCGCGCACCATAAGGTTGACAATCATATAAAAACTAATAGATTGAGAAAATATGAAAAATATTTTATATACATATTATGCAATGAATAGACTAAATATTTATTCACCTTTAAACTAAGATTTTGGATGCATAATTATTAACTATTTTTAACAAAAAAAATGTTGAATTGAAAGTAGTTTTATATAACTTAATTACCCTTTTTTCCTTTGAGGTTAAAATTTTGTCGTCTAATTGTTTATCGTGATTAAAAAGTATATAAATTCACGCATATATATACTGCTCCAAAACGGCTATTCGAATTTTGATAAACTATTTTAGAGTGGGTCAATGCATATACAATAGTGCTTCCGAACTAAATAAATATAGTAATCATCAAGAAAAAAGTGGAAAAATTTGGTATTTCATTGGTTGACATATGCACAAAGCCGCAAATTATTAAAATATCAATTCACTTAAAAATTTGAACTTAAATGATTACTAAAATTTAATTTATAAATTATAAATGCCAGAAAGACAATGCCAAAGGTATGGTGTAATTATAAAAGTTATAGGCAACATAGTGATGATATCCTTTTGGTGAAAAAATATAATGTGATATCGTTCTTTTACTATATTAATTTTTTTTGACCTGTGAGTTAAGTTAGGAAAATCATTGTTTTAGTCAATTGTATGTTTGATGCTCGAGAGTTAGAAAAACTTCAGAGTATAATTAAAAAGTTAGGTGTGAGAATTGAGACTCAACATTTTATTTATAAAACAAAACATTTTGGTATAAATTGTAATTTAAGGAACAATAATTATTAGTTTTAACGAAAGGGTGAATATTAGTATGAAGTATTGAAAAATTCTGAACTTTTTAATTGTAGATCTGGGTACAGGACAAGGTCTTTCGGGTGATCTAGTCTATATATATATATATATATATATATATATATATTATATTTATATATATATATTTTTATAATCCATTCCAAAGTGTAGAACAAAATTTTAAATCTTACAAAATACTAGCGTTCACCAAATGTAAATCACTATGAATATTTTGTGGGAAATATTATTTTCAACATATATATATATATATATATATATATATATATATATATATATTGTTACAGTAGAGTTCAAAGTGCTGCCATCAATCCAAAACGATCATTTATAATATGAAAAAAGTATTGTATTTAATATCTAGAAGAATTATTCAATAGGCGGAATAAATATAAAAAAAATCTATTTTATTTTGCAAGATAAAAAATATCAATACGTAACAAATCCATATTCAGCATTAATAAATTTTAAATTATTATAAAAATTGGTTATATATTGGTATTTGTCAAAAATTCAATATCAAACAATTTTCATGAAGCGCTATATAATAAATATAATAAAATGAAAAAGTTAGTTGATTTATGTGAACGGTATATTACTGATTTCATATCATAATGATTTTTATATTTCAAAATTTTTTAAATATTCAAAAGTTTTAATTCAAAGATATATTAGAAATTGAAGTTACTTTAACGAATAACAGCGCCATAAATTTAGTGTAATATACTATACCACCATGTAATAAATTTCCATAAAATAAATGCAGTTTCGTATTACATATTAATAAAATTGTTGTACTAATTTATATTAGTAAGTATTCTTAGGCGTTTTAGCTTCTTGCAAAATACAAATTGGAGTTGCCATAAGGTAATAATTTTGGTTTGTAAATTGTACTTAAATAATTTGTCATTGTACATTAAAATTAATTAAAAATTAGATAATTTGGAAGATTTAGCAAAAGATAAAGCACGAATAATTAAAAAAAAATGATCATTAATCAATTATGTGATATCAATAAAAGGTACAAAATTGGTTTATCTACCGCAGTTCATATAATTAGCAACTGCATGTCATTGAAGAAAATTTTTGCCACAATAGATATGTTTTTCAAAAATAAGTTTTCATAATAGAACATTGAGTTTGAATATGATTTTTATATTTTTTATATAATATTAATAAGAAAAAAAAAGTCTCAAAAATTTTTTTTGCATATAAAATACAAATTTACTATTTATTTAATAATAATTAGAATATATAATCGATTTCTTTACAATTGACTAATTTATGACAGAAAAATTAAAAATATAGGAAATATTTTCATGCACTTTTATGGTAAAAGTATTTTCATGTGTGTAATAAATTAATTAAATAAGTAAATTTAATATTTAATTCATTGGCACTATTGAATCACTAATTAGGAATTAAAAATTTTATATTTTTAACAAATATTTGTTCAACTCAAGTTATAAATATATTGAAACAGATACCGAAATAGATTAATATGTTAAAAAACGCAAAATAATTGCTATAAAAAATTTGGAAATTAAACTGTTATTCAAAATATTAGAACGTAATTTTGATCACCTTATAAATTGTATGGAACATCAGAATTTAATCTTATTATTAAAATGTTAGGTTAGAAGTAATATTTCAATCACATTTATTTTTTTTTTTTTAAATATCAGAAATATTTATCATAAAATAGCATTTTGACCATCGCTATGTTTTGCATGGATCTTTCGGAAAAATTACTTACAAAAATTTTGAAAAGAGTAAGAATAAAATTTATTTATATTTGATATAAATGT